TTTTTTCCAATCCTTAAAAATTAAAATGTGTTTAAATTCTGAATAATGTGAAAAGATGTTTATCCATGGAGTTGACTACGATTTCATGGTGCCTCATAGCTCATAAGTCCATTTTTTTTACTCGGTGTTCAATATTTATTGTGTGATTAGATTAATTCAAATTTACACTGAAAAGTCTAATTTAGAGGGTAAAATACTTACTATGAAAAACGATTCAATATTCAAAATTCGACTCCAAAAACTTTTATTGAAAATGAAAAAATATTTATCGTTTCACCATAATTTTTGATTGTGTATATATAGTTCATAGTCCATGGAACATTCTCAACTATAATATCCACTACTTTTTGTAAATAAAGAAAAATCCTGAAGTAACATTGTACATAGCCTCTTTCAGCAAAAAGTAAAATCTAGAGGAACATTTAGAAATATGTAACAACTTATTCATATTTCGTGTTCACATCAAATAATCAATAATGGTAAATTACGTGCGATGTTGTATTTATTTATGGAAAATAACATCACACTTGTATCAGTCAACCAAATAGTTCTAAATCTATTCAGTGCTTAGCTATGTTTGTGATAATGTACAAATTTGCAAAGTTAAATAATATTACAATACGATTGGAACAAAGTATAAAGGAACTATTGTATATATGAATGAATATACATCTTTGATATATAGTTATACATCATATTGTATACGATTATATAATATCGATACATTACATATACGTACAACCATTTTTAATAGTTAAACTTTTTCTTATTAGTGTAGAAGCTTTATTGTTTTTGTTTTTTCCTACATTATGTTCCTTTTTACAAATCTTCCATATTTACGTTGTACAATAAACAAGTTGTTTTGTTCTTAATTACCAGCAACAATCCTCATGAAATACAACAACATGGCGTTCGGAGATAATAGAGTGTATGCAAACCTTGTGTCTACCCTGTAGAAATAGAGAGGGTATATATATTCCCTTTTCTAACCTTCTTTGAAAATGTGTTACTCGAGCCGAGGCTCTCTAGGAAACATCATCTCTACCTCCACAATGTAAGGGTAAGGTCTGCATACACATCACCCTTCACATACTCCCACTCATGAGATTATACTGAATTTGTTGTTGATATACTAAGTAATCATTCATGACTACACATTCATCTTACTTCAATTTACTACATAAAACAATTTTCCCTCATCACACAAGGATTTCCCAAATTCATGACTCCACATTCATCATACTTCAATTCACTACTAAAACAATTTTCCTTCATGACACAAGTATTTCCCAAAATCAAGTAAGGACAACAATAACACCAAGTGGAGTTTGAGGAGAGCAAGATGTACGCAGACTTTCAAGTGTTAACGAGCTATAAGTTGGGAAATAGTGAGACTATTTTCCGAACAAGCTAGTTCAACTGTGACTAAAGTCTCTTTCGCGATATCGTCTTTATTCTTGGAAAAGGCAGGAACTTTAGGATTTGGCAAGACTTCAATTTCATTTTTGAGTCATGTTGTATACCTCCAACATGGATGGTCTGTCTTCCCATTTTTCTTGAACACATAATAGTGCAACTTGCATGTATCTCACTTGTTTACTTATTCGAAAATCATCTTGCAGTGATGGATCAATGAAATCCACTCCATTGCCTTTATGCCAAAGTTCATATGCCTGATGAATTTTGATCAAATGAAGTTAGTAATTCTATTGTGTTCATACTGTAATCGAGATCACAGAATTTACTGTGTGTCCTTAAGGAATCGAATCCTCTCATTAATTTGAGGTTATGGATTTACTTCCTTACTATATATAAGCACAAAAGTTCTCCTCTTCATTACCTACTAGGGGGAGAAATGAACTTACATATTCAAGAAGATTCAAATCGTTCTCGATTCCATATTCACATGAATTCTTCTTTCCACCAAGGATTTGCAACAACAGGACTCCGAAGCTATAAACATCATATTTCCTGGAGTATACGCCTCGTTTAACATACTCTGGAGGAACACAACCACTACAGAACACAAGCAGAGATGTTAAAAATATATTAAGTAAGTAAACAATGGTTAAAGAGTCATGATATTTACTAAGTCCCAACAATCTTTCCAGTGTTTGCTTCTTTTTCGTCTTTCTGGAATAGTCTAGCTATACCGAAATCTGAGATTCTTGGCTTCATCTCTTCGTCTAGTAAAATGTTGCTAGCTTTCAAGTCTCTGTGAATTACTGTGAATGTTGAGTACTCTTGGAGGTATAATAGTCCTTGAGTAACTCCTTCTATAATACAAACACGCGTCTCCCAGTCTAATTTCAGTCTCTTCACGGGGTCTGCATCGATCAGACAATCAATTCTTAGTAACTATATGTACGTTTTTGATACATTCTACATATCTTAGACAATTTCTCGAGATGTTCCTAAATGTTTGTTTAAACAATATGTAAGCATTGTCAAGTACTACGAATGAAGTTCTCTGTTCCTAAATGTTTGTTTAAACAATATGTAAGCATTGTCAAGTACTACGAATAATTTTGTAATGAATTAAGAGTTTATTACGCGCACCATAAAGGTAGAAATCCAAACTTCTGTTTGACATGTACTCATAAATCAGTATTTTCTCTTCTTTTTCGATGCAAAATCCCTGAAGTTGTAGAACATTGACATGTTGCAACTTTGAAGCAAGTGAGACCTCATTCTGAAACTCTTCTACTCCTTGCTTAGAGCATTCTGAAAGACGTTTTACTGCGATTTCCTGTCCATCACTTAACCTTCCCTGGAACAATAAGGAGTATGATTTTGAGGTCTGGGATCCTTCATGATCTAAATTTTAAGATTCAGAGATACAGAGAGCCGGAGATGGTTAAAAAGTAATTCAAATATCTAAAACTAGAGTTCTATGCATGTCTTAACTATGAGACGTTATGTGGAAAACTTACAAAGTATTCCTAGGAGGAAATACTGATCAAGAAGAGAATCCCAAAGATATAGAACTTTCTATGTACAAGCTATTCTATTTTCGTCAATTTCACGTTTTGATTTTTGTCTCGAATTTCTCCATAGATTTTAGTCAATGTAGCCAAAAATCTCGACTAGTTGAGTTACCAATACCTTATAAACAGGTCCAAAACCTCCCTCTCCAATCTTGTTTTTGATGGAGAAATTGTTTGTAGCTTCTTTTATTTGATCAAAGCTGAACACTTTGAGATTACCATATGTAGCCAAAAATCTCGACTAGTTGAGTTACCAATACCTTATAAACAGGTCCAAAACCTCCCTCTCCAATCTTGTTTTTGATGGAGAAATTGTTTGTAGCTTCTTTTATTTGATCAAAGCTGACACTTTGAGATTACCATCTATAATCAAAGGTAAAACTTTTAAGTTCCACTATATTCCGATTAGTCGTTTAAAAGAAAGAGTGACAAGGAATTGATATTAGTTACCTTCAGATCTTACAGTTTTCTTTTTTAAGATACAAAGTATTGAACTTATTACGATAATGGTGATCGTGATCGTTGGCAAAAGAATTGCTAGTAACCTTCTCTTGCTACTGCGATGGTCTTCTTCTTCTTCGTCTGAGGCTGTAAAGAATGTTATCATGTTTATATGGTGTTATCAAAAGCAAAAGTCACACAAAAGCAATAAGATATGTTGTTGTTGTTGTATATGTACAAAGAAATTGATTTCCTTTTATGATAAAGTGAAATATCAATTGTTTAGTGTTGCCTCTTTAGAAGAGGTTCATCGACAAGAAAAAGTATGTTTTAGAACCTTGATAACGGCACTGAAGCACATATTAAACAAGGCGAACAGCTCAATATGTTTTTGAGCCTTGCTTCAGAGCCTAAGCTCACCTTTGAAATGAATAAGCAAGCTCTGTATGATGGTTATTCCCCTTCCTATGGATGTAAGACAATACTTCCCCGTCCTGTCCCAATTTTAGTGTCTCACTTTTCTTTTTTCGTCTATTCCAAATAGAGTGTTTCTTTCTATATTTAGTAACTTTTCCAATTTCAACATTCTACGTGACAAGTATACTGGAAGACAAACTATAAGAGAGATTTTTCAAAGGATTATGATGTAACCTGCTTTTGAAAGCTCCCGATCGACATCATCGCTAGGAAATTGGAATGCAGCAAAACCACGAAGCCCCTTATCCTTCGCATAAGAAACTTTAGTTCTTATAGCCTCGACATCATCATAACCAATCCATAATGGTCCAATAGTAACATAGTTCACAACATAAGTTGAGTTATAGACAGGTATGGCTCCATACCTTTTCATATATCTCTTGATGGCTCTGTAATTCATCCACTTTTCATATATCCCTTGATGTCTCTGTAATTTATCGATGATCCATCGCTTGTTATTGCTGGACCTCTTGCAGGTGAGCCTACCATGTTATGATTTGGATTCACAAGTGTCCACGCATAACCATGGTATGCTAAGCCTATAACAATTTTATTGGCTGGTAAGCCATTCTTGATCCATTCCTTTATACCATAATCTGTATTTCGCGTGCTTGATGGATCATATAAAGCTGAATGTGCTCGTGTAACGTTGTTTTTTGAAGGCAAATAATAGTCATATGATCTGAGATGAACCCAATCGAAGTTTCTAACAATTGTTTCTACTGGATATTTCATCGATTGATCTAGCATTGGTGAATAGTATGCTCCCATAGTTAAGATCAATGAATTGTTGGACTCAGAATTAATCGTTGTTCGCCACTCTTCAATGAATGTTCTCATATTAGTCATGTTTGCAGCTGTATTTGGGTAGACACCATTAAGATCAAGCCCTTGAAATCCATATAGTCGAGCAGTTTTTATTGAACTTGTGATGAATGATTTTCTACGCGAAAATTCACTGGTCATCGCGAAGAAGTCAGGGGATTCATCACTTCCTCCCCATATGGATAGAAGTGTTATAACTGATGGATTATTTTGTTTCACAGTTTTGGTAAAGGTTGAGATATATGGTTCATCAGAGTTATTTATGAAAACCTCGAAATTCGAAGTGTTGATATGTGCAAAGGCAACATGAAGATGTGTGTACATAGTAGGAATTTCAGGTGTTGGAAACACACTGCCAGCATACCAGAACCCGGATTTTATCCAAGATGTTGTATCTGAAGAACTCGAAAAAGGAAGAACAAGTAGAAAGAGGAAGGAGAATAGCCTTTTCAAAGACATTAAGAAGTAAAAGGCGATCTACTAGTTCAAAAAAAGAGGATCCGTTGAAGAGTTTTGTAGAGAATAGTTCGATCTTTTTGTGCAATAGGAAAGAGTCCTTTTGAATTCCTTAAAATACGCTCTGATGAGGCTTGAGTATAAGAGGGGTACTTGAACAGAAGGTCGTCTAAGACTAGTGAAAATCGAATTGAGATGCTTAAGATTTCTTGATATCAAGCAATAGTCTTTTGTACTACATGTCTTAATTTTCAATCATGTAATAAACTTTTTGGCAAAGGTCTCAATACTATATTGTTGATTTGTCTATTTTTATATTTACTAACAATTTAACTTTAAAATATTCTTTTTATCTCTAACATGATTTATATCCACATAACATCTATGACTTGTTTAGACCACAAGTTTCAAAAATATTTTTTTCTTTCTTAAATAACTTCGTGTCAAGTCAAACAACATCACATAAATTGGGACGAAGGGAGTAATATACTTATTGGTAAAAGTCTCAAAACTATATTGTTGATTTGCCCAACACCTTTGCTTGTAAAAATTGAATTGGTCAATCTGTAGTTTGTGATGAAAAGTATGTTTGGTTACTTTCATAGAAACTACTCCTGGAGTCCTGGTGCGAATTGGAAAGTTAATATAAATTTTGGATACTTGTTCTAGTCATGTTCACATTTATAAATGCATCATCCTTGGATATTTTCGTGTATTTACTTCTTTATATTTTAATTCCGTTAATGAAAATCTTGATTCCCTCCACTATAGTTGTACATACAATAATTCTTGATACCAAGAAGCTATATAATTTCAAAACCAACAATAACAATATACCCAGTATAATCTTATGAATGAAGTCTGAAGAGTATAATCTTATAAAATAGGAACTTTAGAAAGATAGACAAGTTATTTTCGATACACCTGTCTAAAACTTCCACCCCTATGAACTTCTTGGTAAGTGCTTTGTGATAAAATCTTATGAAAGTCATATTATGTTTTGACAAGTGTAGCATCCTTGCATGTAAAGATCCTCTTGACTTCTATGCCACTGCCCCAAATGTTGGGTTTGTAGGCCATAGCTTGTACACAAGATTCAATTGTGGTTCAAAAGATTTTCATACTAGTCTACCCTCCACCCATCCTTGATCAACTAGATGAGCTTGGTTAAAATTTTAACCTTGACAGTTAAAATCGAATCATGGTTAAGTGATAATTGTTTGAACGCAATACATATGTCTTACATTTGTTGATTTTGTATAAATACTGAATGCACTAAAATTAGGGATCTTAAGATACATAATTGGTTTGATTCAATGTTTCCTTCTCTTTGTCGGTGTACATAGATTATACACTGCTTATATACGATTATACTTCTGTTTTGCGCTTGGAGCATTAATTAGAAACAATTTTATCACAGTTATCATTCATGACTCCACATTCATCATACTTCAATTCACATTTGTGAGGTGAAAATGCTTTCCCAAAGCTAATTAAACAACAACAATAACATACCACTACACCAAAAATGATCTTTAGTGACTAACCACATATTGTGATCCAATAAAATTGTATGAGAATCATGACGTCTTAGGATCAGGTTCAAATCACAACAGAAATAATAATTTGTCATAGTGCCACGAAAGCTTATCCGAACAACACGGTTATCTGACTAGCTAAAAAAATCAACATTTTAAGATGAAATTCAAAGATTTCACTAAGTATTTGAATCGAAATAGGTTCAGACTTTGGGTATTATATGGCACTTACTTAAGCCCATTACTGATGGGCCTTAAAAGCTTCTATCAACCTAATTGGGCTCACTCTAAGACTCCAGCCCATTTGTTCAGGACATTTCTTTACACTTTTAAAAAGAAGAAAAATAACGAAAAATTCATACAAAATAAAATAATACGATAAATAGCATAATATATGTATATATTATTTATGTGTATACACCATAGGAAAGAGCTATTGGGGTGCCAAAGATTTAAGTATACTATTCCTTTTGATTTAATTTGTGTGGTTTGATTTGGAGAATGCATGTTAAATTAATGTGAATTCAGACATAAAATATTTAATTTTGTTGATAATAAAGTTTACGTATTTAGAAATTATACAAAAAATGCTGCAATCATCTTTGATTTTCTCAAAATCGACTTTTTAATAATATATTACAAGTTTTTCTACATTTCTTAAGCTTCATATCAGGGCATATCAAGGGATTTCTCGAGTTTATGTGAGTCTAAATTTTTCTTATGAGATTATATATATATATATAGTAGTGTTATATTTCTAAAAAATTATCTAAATATAGATGTGTGAATTCAAATTCGAAGTATCATATAATACAATGATGATTTGGGTGCACCTCTCTAAGTGAGGTTAGAAATTCAAATTTATATCTATTTTGTTTTTTTTCTTTGTTAAATTAGACAACACCTCTTTAAATGGTTATTGATAGAACTTTTGGTATTTTAATTAATTTTATTCATATATTTTGCTTTATTCTTTCTAATTTTTCAAGTTTCACATTGAAAATTCCTAAATTTTGCTTTATTCTTTCAAATTTTTCAAGTCTTTCACATTGAAAATTCCTAAAAAAAAAGTTAGCACTAAAAAAATGTGTATATTAAAACTAGTAGTATTGGATGATAGAACATACAATCAATGGACTGAACCGATCTCAATACACTTTTTCGTAAAATTGCCGTACATATAACACATATTTTTCATCATCATCAAACAAATTAATTACATGTGGCTGTTGTTAGATTTAGTCAAATGATTAGTTAATTGATTCCTAATATGTAGTTTCCTCTATTATTATCTATATAACCCTCAAAAGTCAACAATTACCAAATTAAATAACTCACCAAGATAACCTATTTTCACAAGAAACTATTCAAATTTAATTTCTATCATAACGTGACAAAATAGATAACGCTAGTCACCACATATGATCATTTTTTCAAGAATCCATCAAAGACCAATCTTTTAATTGGAATGGTCAAGTTTATTTATGTATTATTTGAAAATAGGCTAACTTTATCATTGTTAAACTTTTAATCTATTTAGGTACATGTCATATCCTATCTAATTATCTCTCTCCAATTCTTCCTCGTCTACCTCTACCTATTCTTGGGCCTATATATCATTGTCCACCTCTCACACCTCTTCATTGGGACGTTTAATTCCTTTTCATGTGTACGTTTTCAACCTCGCTATCCGCATCTTGTCTACTATGGAGAGTTGAAATTTGGTAGAATATTTTTACTTTTCCTTTTTAGTCTAAAAATATTTTATAGTATTTAATTTCCTTTCAAGTCTAGGGTTTACATTAATTGCAAAATATTTAGTTTTATTTTAGTTTAGTATCAAGAAGGATTCTCCTTAATTATTTATAAATAGGGATGTACTCTTCTAGTTGAATCAATGCAAGAATCAATACAAAGAGTTATCATTCATTCTCTCTTTAATTTCTCTTTCTAGTTTCTTCCATTCCATAACATGGAGATCACTCTCAACTTATCATGTATATCCTCACTCTTAAACATATCTATACTAGTATATCTACACATCCATCTAAGCATTCTCCTTTTCGTTATTTTCATCTTTTGGATGAGTAAATTTTTGACTGACTAAGATTTTGCCTCGTACAACATAGTTTATCTAATTAACCACTCTAAAACTTTCATTTAATTCGTTTAGGACATCGAACATGAGCCTATATTTCATCCACCAGCTCCAATGCAATGTGTGACATTAGCGTTGGCTTTTCTATTTCCTTGAATTATTGACCCAATAAAAACAATCTAAGAACTGATCGATCCCTAGTGCAACCCCATCTAATTTGGATTTTGTTCCTACTTTCAAATGCTATGCCTTTAAGGAATTACCCTTCCCAATCGGATTAGATTCGAATCCAACTATGTTTTCTCATACATTTCTCACCTTATAAACAAAATATTAAATAGTCGTCTAATGTTCTAATAAAACTCAAATTTTTAGATCGTGATCTAACATTTTCTCATAATTTTTTAAATTTGCTCAAAAATGAACTTTAGATCGTGATCTAAAAAATTCATAAGCTTGCAAAAAACAAAAAGAACTTATTTACTAAATAACTATTTCAAAAAAGATTAATGATAAAAATAATTTCGAAACAATTTGCAAACGACATATTCAAACAACATATTCAAACATAAGCAAATGTTGACGATTCTATTTTTAGAAGCATGAAAATTCAATCACTTTGTACATAACCTCTTTCAGAAAAAAAGTAAGGTCTAGAGGAACATTTAGAAATATGTAACAACTTATTCATATATACAATAGTTCATTTATACTTTGTTCCAATCGTATTGTAATATTATTTAACTTCGCAAATTTGTACATTATCACAAACATAGCTAAGCACTGAATAGATTTAGAACTATTTGGTTGATTGATACAAGTATGATGTTATTTTCCATAAATAAATACAAGATGTGAACACATCTTTGATAAATAGTTATACAACACATCTTTGATATATAGTTATACATCATATTGTATACGATTATATAATATCGATACATTACATATACGTACAACCATTTTATTAGTTAAACCTTTTCTTATTAGTAAGAAGCTTTATGTTTTTGTTTTTTCCACATTATGTTCCTTTTTACAAATCTTCCATATTTATGTTGTACAATTAACAAGTTGTTTTGTTCTTAAATACCAGCAACAATCGTCATGAAATACAACAACAACATGGCGTTCGGAGATAATAGAGTGTATGCAAACCTTGTGCCTACCCTGTAGAAATAGAGAGGGTATATATATTCCCTTTTCTAACCTTCTTTGAAAATGTGTTACTCGAGCCAAGGCTCTTTAGGAAACATCGTCTCTACCTCCACAATGTAAGGGTAAGGTTTGCATACACATCACCCTTCACATACTCCGACTCATGAGATTATACTGAATTTTTGTTGATATACTAAGTAATCATTCATGACTCCACATTCATCATACTTCAA